CCTATTCATTTTATACTCACGCATTGTCAATTTTTCCAACTTGGCATATGCACTTGCTATGTTTTTGCCAATATATTTGTGACCATCATAAATTCCTTTCTTTGGCATACGTCAATTGTTGCACCATAGCCTGTAAGAAATGCGTAAACATAATAATGTAAACGTCTTCAAATGCACTTCTACTTCTAACTTACTTGTAAGTCTCTAATCTGTTGCTCGTACATAAATTGCGTCTGCGTCGAGGTCTCTATCCGATTGCGGCCTTGGTTTACATTGGCCTTATCCGACAACTGGCGTATGATAAGCTGCGCCATTTCCAACTCATTTGACTTTTCTTTGAACTGATGTTCAACATCGGGAGCACGTTGCTGCATTACATCTAACAGCCTTTTCATTTCATCCAGATGAGCCGCTTGATGTGGCCAACACCCAAAAGGTTTGTTTACAAAGTGCATTTTTGAGTAGTTGAACAAATGCCAGTGCGCAGCCAGCGGGTCAGTTGCTGGCAACAATTTGCAGGCTTGGGCCAGCGTTTGTTGCGGCTGCCGGAAAAGTAGCTAAATAATGAAAGTAATTATATGTATAGCGGAGTAGGAGGTTTTCCTTTATTTTAAAAGCTTGGTTACTGATTTCACTAATTGACGACGATGCAACGATCACCGTGAAATCGTTCTGCAAATTGTTACCAGCAACTGACCCGCTGGCGGCCCGCTGGTATTTGTTCAATTACTGAAAAAATGCAAATCATTATAATGATTGCAGTGTTTTAACACTTTCAGCGATTTGCATTGCATTTAAGAAGTACACATTCTTTACTTTTAAACAACCAATTTACCATTTAAAATTACATAATTCCGTAAATCCGTAAATCCGCGATTTATTATGCACTTTGTAAACAAACCTTTCAATTTTGCCCCAGCTGTTCGATTCTTCTTCTTTTTCTTAGGTCGGTGTTATGCAGAAATTTTGTTTGGCAAACTGCGTGCAATTGTTGTTGCAGCAAACTCGGAGAGAGCGAGTTTGGCGACTCTCACAGCAAACTAATTTTGTTTGGTCAAACTGCAGCAAATTCGGTGTTGTCATATACAAAAATTTTAAATTTTGCGCGTTATGTGCATCTGAAATTCTCATTTCGTGTTGGCAATAGCCATGAAAACCATAATGAACGTGCAACCCTGTGCCAAACTCGACATAACCACCTCCGAGCAAACTAAGCAGCCGCCATTTAATTTGGCAAACAAAAGTTTGTCTGCATAACACCGACCTTATTGAATTCGTCTTTGCTCTCTAATTCTGGTATATTTTGACGTCATGGCCAGTTGCTCTCAGCTCGATTGGCGCAATCTTGTATTCTATCATTCTTGAGGAAAATGTATGCTCTTTGTTTGGTACACAAAGTCAGTATTACCGCAGCCGTACTGCGATGAACATGATGTCGGTGGGATATAAATAATTTTCTCGCAACTTTTCATACCCTTCCTCCTGTTTTTAAACTGTTTTTCCCTTTCTCCAGCCCGCGCTCGCACTTTCGCTACTGCGCGGGCAAAAAAGTGCCCATGTCTGCTATAATGGATAAAAAGTAAGTCAATTGAACTGGAAATTGTAAAAAATTTTGAAATATACATATGTATGTCTGAATTACAGATCAAAAATTGTAAGCAAAAAAAGGCAACTTGCGCGGTTGATCGAGCTGATGCAGGAGAATGAGAACATAGGCAAAGGAATTTTCGGAAAGAGTAGGGGCGAAATCTCCGATTCTATTCTTTCTCTTTCTTGTGCATATAACTCCGGTTACGCCATCCAAAGTGTTTTTGCGCAGAGCCGACATCAAAGTTTACAAAAAACTGCATAATTTATTAATTAACTAGTGCTCGGAAATTTGAAATCTTTATTTTAAATTAAAGTTTAATTCTTTCACTACACTTGTATGTTAAAGTTTTTAAACTCGGGTCACGCGTTTGGACACAAATACCCAACATCATTGTACAAATAACTAAACCATACCGTAATTCTTAAACTTCCATAAAGTTTATTAATGAAGAAAATAGCATTTTCTGCAAATCCTGTAAAACCTACAAACCGTGAAGCATCGGAACGCAGCTTGTATTCAAAAAATTCACATATGTACATACACTTCATCTTTCAACTCCAAGTGATCCGACGAATCTCGCTTCCACAGCATCTTCGTCATCACCAGGGAACGGATTTTTAGGACCTAAAAACCTATAAAAAAGGCAAAATAAAATAACGAAATAGGCTGGAAAAGGCAAAATAAAATAGCGAAAAAGGCAAGAGGAGGCACTAGGTGTTGCAAAAAAAGGCAAAAAAAGGCAAAACAAAATAGCGAAAAAGGCAGGAAAAGGCACTAGGTATTGCAAAAAAAAGCAAAATAAGGCACTAAAAAAAGACAGAAAATACGAAGAACAATCAAAAAATACATTTATTTTAAAAATGTTTATATTACAAGTAAAAAGCGAAAAACTATGAACTAGAAAATTTTTACTTAGAATCTTTGACTATTTTATCCTTTCTAGTTTCTAACTCATAAAGCTTTAATCTGTATAGTTGTAGTAACATTGAACCACAAGATGCATTTTGAAGTTTTCTGGCAGCATTTTCATTCGATTTTCGCGAAGAAAAGCCTTGAATGTACTAAATGTGTGTTCGACGTAAGTTGATACAAGCGGCGCCCAATTTAAATATGGAATGTTTGAAACGTTCATATTATCAGGAATAAGGGCGTTTTCCTCGCCCTTTACAATTTTATCCACATCCCTAATTGTCTCCAAGCCTTCGTTAGCTGAGAAAATGGCTTTGAATTTTTCCAACACCAATTTGGCAAGAGGTCTCTGCGCTTCCATAAGCCGCACGGGCAATGTGTATATTTTTAATCTTAAAAAAAAATTGTAAATGCTATAATTACTTTTTTAAAGGTAGAAAAGGCAAAAAAAGGCAATATCTTAAAAAAGACAAAAAAAAGGCAAATATCTTAAAAAAGGCAAAAAAAGGCAACATCAAATGTGTATATATGGAATCAGGGAAAGCTAAGTCGTGGACATTCTTAATCGAATATAGTATATCTCTTTAGCAGAAAAAAAGGCAATTTCCATAAAATCCGTTCCCTGGTCATCACTAAACCATATTTCAACTGTACCCATTTTTTTAATTTTATAATGAAAGCAATTATTTTAAAAATGATGTAAATGAAACACTAAAGAAACAAATGTAAACAAACAAACAGCTGTTTACAATTCCGTCAACAATTCACAATAGTACAAATTTGTATCGATCAAGTTACACAAAAGTAAAATAAAAGATGATCGACTCGATCGACAAATATCTATTCTACTGCCAGTCGACACTCGCAATATGGGCCTACTTCTTTCGAATATTTTGTACTACCTTTTAAAATGACTTTTCTATAGCAGATTAGAAAAATTTTAAAAGGTTAGTAATTTCAGTTAAAAAAGGTACTCATAGATCAACACATAAAGTATGACTGTCAAACACTTCTCTAGCTTACAAAATTCATTGTGAAGGGCAGTGTTGCCGCCGCTCAAAGAACTTTCTAACCAAGATTTGACGAAAAAGTTACCAAATGTAAGGAAAACTAACCAATTTTTTTATTAGATTAATAACTCAGGTCATCACAAATTCTTTTATATAGTACGTATATACAAATTTTACAAACTAAAGAAAATCAGTTTTTATTTGCATTTTTGAAAAGTAAATCCTTTGATGGCTGAAAATAAGTGAGATACATTCATATATAAGTATATATATAAATACATATTTTAGAAAATCAGGCTTCCCGTATTAGGTGCATATGTATGTTAATATCTTTAACATTATCAGACTCTAAATGACGTTTTTAAATAAGTACATAGGTACACAGTTTCCAACTTCTTTGTAAGAATCAATGAAATACCTAATCAGCGTGAACAACCACATTGTAAATATTTTATAATTAAGATTAAACAATTAAAAATTGGACTGTATTGAACTATATCGTCGCTCAGCGCGAAGTACCTCGTATACGCCAAACGCAGTACCGCGTATACGATAGTAAATAAATTTTACAAAAGCGCGAGAAACCGATTTTTTTAAAACTTTGGAATGGTATTTCCCTTGAACCTACTTGCTATAAGATTATTATTATTAATCTTAACTTAAATTAATAAAGTAAGCAGTAATGGAAAAATAATTACCAAATCCCTCTTTTATTGTACATACATGGCGTGGTATTGGATTCCGCATATACATATATATGTACTATCTGAGTATGTATTCATTTGAAGTAGTCTTTAGCCGACCATATATATTATGTATTCTGTATATTATAAAACAAATACATACATATGTAAGTAATATTAACACAATGATTCCAAATATTCTCACTTGGTTTCACTGCTGGGGCTGCCACTGCTGCTGCTACTCTCCTCAACCTCGACAGGTGTAGCTGGCCTATGTCTTATAACGAACCTAATTTAAAAGTTTTTTGGAAATACATATGCAAAATAAAACCAAAATTGTGTATTTTTTTCTCACTTATCCATAGAATTGAGCCCGTTTAAATTAACTTGAAACACCAATTTTGCGCGGAATTCTAATAATTTTTCGCGGCTTCTTAATAACTCTCGTATTATTCAAATGTCATTTCAGGCACATACTATGTAGGTGTGTGCAAAGAACATAGAAATTGTGCAACTGCGGGGCCGTTTCAAAAACTTGGCGATTAATTCACCGCCATTTATTAAAGACACGAACCGATAATAGTTGCACCCTCGAACTTTTACTGTTCTTTTGCATATGTAAACACATGATTGTTATCGGAATAAGTCGAATCTTGAGTTGCCATTTTAGAGTAATAACTTTAGTTAAATAACCATATTGAGCAGAATAAATGTATTTGTTTATACTATTTTTCAAAGATTTAATTATTGTATGTATACAAAAGTTAGAAACTACAGCAAATTTTAAAAATAACCAAAATGGGAAATATCTTAACAACTTTACAGGCAAGAAAAAAATAACCAAAATTGGTTAAAAGTAACCAAAACGAGCCTTTGTCGATGTCATTAAGTTGGGGCCAGGGTTTTAGATACTCGGCACACGTTGTAGTTTGTTTTCAACCTTCTCCTTCAGCCACTCGGATAACGTCATAAGTGTCGTTTAATTTTGCTCGAACGATCTGATACGGTCCCAAATATTTCGGTTTTAACTTAAGACCGCCACCAAATTGTGTACGCTTTATAGCTACCAGGTCACCAATCTTATAACGATGAGCAGCCTTACGCCTCAGATTATAGGTACGTCGATTTTCGTCTTGCAGCTTGTAGATTTGTTTTTTGGCTTCTTTACGTAGGACCTCTCGATCTTCGTTAAAACTTGCAACTATTTCATCTTCAACCAGTTGCTTAATGCAAGGATCATCCTTCGTATGCATTTTGATGCCCACTAAAAGTTCGAAAGGCGTCCTCCCAATACTTCTTGTAAACGTAGAATTGATAGATTGCTGCACACGATCAACATAGCGATACCATTTCGTTGAATCGTCGATACTAAGTTTTGCCAAAACTTTGATGATTATTGCATTCAGTCGTTCCACTTGCCCATTGGCGCGAGGCAACCCAGTAGTAATTTTATGGTGACTGATATGCTCTC